TCATGAGTGCACTAACAAGGTACTGCTTACCAACTGCACTCAAATGTATTTTGAGGTTTTTCTTGTAGTCTATAAACTTAAAATAGTTGGAAATATCCCCAAATAGCCATTCCACCGAAACTCGTACCTCACTCATGGCTTTGTTGAAGGCTCTCATTTGAGGGGTAAGCACCTGTACATCACCTACTTTGTATGGACACATCAGCTGCGGGCGAAGGAGATAGGCTGGGTCCCCATAAATGCATAAAACATCACCAGCTGGATTGTATGCCACTTGTTGCAAGGCAGCAAGAACACTTGAATCTTTGAGCATGCCTGCATCATGACGCCGACCTTCGACCGGACCAAACAAATTAGCAACAATACCATTAGGTAAAGCCACAGCCTGAAACTTGACGGCATGTACTCTCTTATGGCCATTATATACCACCCGTTGGTTCTTCCCTGGACGACAGATCTGTCGAACTGTTCCATCAACAAAACCAAAACAATTCCTGAGCGGTGCACCTTTTCTAGCAATTGCTATTGCATAACTCTCAAGGCACTCTCTCGAAAGAAATGGTTGGTTCCAAGATAGCCATGTGTTGTGTATACCCAGTCGAGGACGGTGTTAGTGATCATGCATAATTCTGGAACAGGACGACCAAAACTGTGAATCATATCTAAGTAACGGCAAGGGTAATTTAGTCTTTTCAACAAAATACACAAGCCTTCCATTCCACTACAAACAGTTCCTTGAGGACAAACAAATCTGTCTGGAATACGAAGCGATTGCTTTAAAAGAGGCAGGTTATGTTTTTCAAACCTGAATTCCGCTTTGCATTTATGGGGATCCAAATTTTCAAAATCGAATCCATCGTATGTCCAGTAAGGAAATTCTGGATTTTGAGGTTTGTACTGTGCAAATAAAACAACAAATTCCTCTTCGCTTATAATTTCATCAGCCAGAGCAATTATCAAGGCACCGCACACTTCTTGGAATGATGGCATTTTGTTTAAAATTTTTTTTTACTTTGTATACAAGGAGAACAGAACTTAACCGTAGCTGTATTCGTGTTGTTCTATCTTAAAGTTCCCGCGCGCGGTAGATGGTGACAGTACTCGACCCAGTCCATGCGCCGATTTTTAACCGTAGTCTGTAGTCCGTAGTCGGTTATCTTAAAGTCGCTAGTATCGAGCCCACACCGGTCGAAACCAAACCTAGAAGGAAACAATCTAAACATCAGAGGCATATTACTTGGTCGGATGCAACTATCTCCGAATGGCAAAACTACACCAAGGATGCACAGGTGGTCCGTAACATTTCCGAAGGATATGTTATCACAGAGATGTATAAGTCATCGCGCAATATTTTTAATCCTAACCATCCAGGTGTCTACATCGGCGGAGAAAATTATTGGCCTGTCAAAATAATGAGCCAATCGGGTCGTATGAAGTGGGTGAATCTGCACGAAGACGAGCCAACGGTCCGAACCTTTGTTAAAGAAACCATGGCGAATGAATAATTAAACCAAACGACTCTTATTACAAAAACAAAATTTAAATTGTTCTGCGTAATTTAAATAAAATCAAACACATTATGCTCTAAGAAGTAGACCACATTAACTTTGTAAACATCTCGAAGAAATAAATATATTTTAAGACTGAATTCTTGTGTAAACTTTTGGCTGCAAAGCGCTCCTGTCTTGTCTAAATCGCTTCCTCTCTTCCCGCACGGATAACCCGCGACGCCCGCGCAATTAATATCCTAATCTACCCGTATTTATCCACACAGTAGAAAAATGCAAATATCTGATAAAAGTTAATCCTTTAATTAGTGTCACCCTAACAACGCATAGCAACCGGTGTGCTTTAATATAGCTTAAATTTATTAATCTTATCCGAGTTTTAGTACTTTAAAAAAAACTAGCAATAAAATATAGAAATCGCTTGACAATTATATATCATAACCTTTAATTTCCATGTGTTTATATAACCCTAGACAGCAACATATTCTCTCGTATATAGACCTCATGTGGCAGACCGGGATAAAAATATTATTTTAATTGTAGATACATGACAAATCTTTCCGCATGCTATTTCTCAGCGTTTTGACGCTTGATAATATTTATATATTACTTAACAACAAAACATTAAGCTGTATACCTCGAATATATAAGTTTTAGATATATAACACTAATGCTATTTCATATAGTATCAGATTTTTTACTCCTCTAGGAGCTAAATTAAAGAAATCACTTGACAATAACAGCAAAATGCTATAGCTGTGCAATGAAAACTCCAAACAACAACATATTCTCTTGTATATAGCCCTAATTATTGTATCACACACGTGGGGAGAACGCTAAAAAATGCCTAGTCAGCAAGTTTCACATGTCCTTGATTAAACCTGCCCGCGTGACGTCATTACTTGCCTGATCCTCCCCGCGTGACGTCACTACGCACCCTCATTTGTGCGGCTCCCCTTAATTACCTGCATTTAATTACCTGAGAGAAAGCGAACTGACCGAAAGATTTATAAATTCAACAGATGTAAAGTTCTGATCCAGTTCTCTATTTGAGTTACTGTATATTTAGCTTTCTTGCGGTAACATTTAGCCTACGGTAAGTTCGACAACGTAGAAGTGTTTGTCTGAAGTAAATCAGGACGATATTCATCTCCCATAATAATCGATCGGCTTTCAAATCCAGGAAGATCAAGAAGTAATTTGCATTCGTATAAACTTTGAAACGTTTTTGCAAGAAACTTTAGTGTGCACTCGTGTCTCCAAGTAAATCGTTCCAAGTAATGTTGACAACCGGCAACAACGTGTAGAAGTGATTCAGGTTGTAAGCAGAACGAGCAGTAAGAACTTGATGAAATTCCCCATCTACTGAGGTTCTTTCGGATAGGAAGGGTATTATTTTTATAGCGAATTGTAAAGTTGAAAATGTTCGTTGGTAGCTTTGATTGCGATTCAGATCAGATTGCGTTAAGTTGTGATAGGGAGAATTTAGAAACATTTTCGAAAAAGGGACCTTGACATATCAAACAGTTCCTAAGTTTCTTGTTGAGAATGGAAAGTTTTTAAAACTTCTTTAGTTGAGTTGTAGCTATCGTATTGAATGTTAGCATGATTATTAGTTGACATCCGCAGTTCGTTTATTGATCGTGAATCGTTTGGAGATATTTTTAGGGCATCGCGTACAACTGTTTGACACTGAATGAATGAATAACAACGACAACGACAACGACAACGACAACGACAACGACAACGACACAACGACAACGACAACAACAATAATATGTTTTGATGTTGATGTTTTCAATAATTTAATATTTGTTTTGCCGGTTTGGGTAAGTGTAAACATTCAGTAGTAAAATTTCATGCTGTACTTGCTTCGTGTTGTCGATTTCACTCATATCTGCAATGTTCGCAAGCCATGTTCTTAACTCAATAATTCGCAACTTTAATGCAGCGAACGTGCTTATCGTTCATTAAGCTAGCCAGGGACGTCGCTATAGGGTGTGTGTGGTGGGTGTAACCCCCCCCCCCCCAATAATTCAAACGCTGGTCAAAGTTGGTCAAAATGGAATTGATATTTGCCCAAAGTTTGTCAAAATGGAACTGATATTTGCATTGAAGGTAAAACACGGAAAAATTTAGTAAAAGTTTGGGATATAAGATGGTCGAAGTTATGAAATGGTTTGCACTTTTAACAATTTTAAAGCTTCAGTTACGTTTACGATGAAAAAATCGGAAGCATTGCTTATATTGGTCGAAAAATTTTGGATATTCTTATATTAGTCCAAAAATTTTTTTTTGACTATATTAGTCAGGAAAATTTTTTTGACCTCCGCACGTCGACAATATTTCCGGGAAAATTTTTTACGACTTTATCAAAATCCTCGGAAAATTTGGTCAAAACATGACGAAACCCGCCCC